TGGATGCTTTATTTGCATAGCCCACGTCTGTGGAAGGAGGCATGGGGAGAATGGGCCCCGTTCAGTTGGCACCCAGTCGGGTTCTCACGGCATGACTGTGCTTCTGCAAGTGGCCAGCTCCTTGCCAAACAGCTCGGCACAAAGCTTCACTGCAAGCTTCAGGCGCTGGCCTTTTGGTCTCCCAATGACACTCTCTGCCCCAAGGCACGGGGACTTTCCCCGCAGCATGCTGGGGAGCGAGCTCCCTGTGTGTTGGCTGCGTGGCCGTGCTTCCCCTGCCTCCACTGCAGTCGTGATCAGCGCTTTGCATCTGCAAACGCCAGGCTGCCCAATGTGTTGGCTTGCAAACTCATTGTGAAAAACGCTGTGCAATCCAAACTGTAGACATCGCATCACGTAGCCCACGTTTGCAGTCGTGATCAGAGGTTCTCTTTGCGTTGAGCATTCACTTGCAGGCCCATTGCCCGAAGGCGGACTGTACACAATGAGTACGGCAATGCCCTAACAAGGATCCCCAAAGTATGTAGAATAAAGGCCTTGCTGACATGGCCAGTATCTTATCTATTTTTGAAGTCCAGGAGAAGCCCTACACCCTAAACCGCAAACTTTGGTCCATCAGGCCGGCTTAGACATGGTCATGTGGGCAGATTGGCTGCAAAACCATGCACTCTCATGGCCCCGGCCTCAACTGGGTTGCTGTGAAGGAACTCCAGTTTACCGTAATCCGGGTACATAGTAATGGAGTTTCCTTGTTACAGTAGCTTAATTTAAGTTTCTTAGCAGCAACCCCGTTAAGCCTTTCCAACGCATTTCTCTCCAATGAGCGCTTCCGTTTGCAGTACTTCAGGCTTCGCACAGCTTTGCTGAGGAAGTGAATTCACAAATCTTGTGGGGACTAGACCCTGCACCCTAAACCCCCAACCCTAAACGCACCAGAGACGGCCGCACAAAGTTGGAAACCCCACGGTCCGTACTACAGATCTGCTTGTCAGAGCTACCAGCTACAGTACACGAATCTTTGATCCATTGTGGTTTGTGTGGCTGAGGAGCTACGGCAGAATCCTGTCAGTCCTGAAAATCTTGGAGTGCCTAATCAGTGCCTACGGGCCTAAGGCACACCAAGACCTACCACTTGAAAAATCACGAATCTAATCGTTCAGCATCATGGACGGGCTGGCAAAACAAATCAAAATCACGGAGACTTACCACGAAACACTCTGCCACAATCACTCAAAAAAAGGGCAGCGGCGAGCAGAGAAATGGATGTGCACGTGACCAGTCCATAGGTCGGTACAGAATGCCAAACGGCCGTCTCAGCTCCACGAACCACAAGAAACATGATCCCAATCAAACTGGAACAGGCCATGTTGACCATCACCTCTCGAAATTTTGTTGCATGGCGCCGTCGACAGTAGCGCGGGATCCGCAGCCATAATGCCACGATTACAGGGATGTTTCCAAGCCACCAGCCGAGGCAGTAGCAGAAGTTGGAGATGGCCACCCATGAGTCGGAATAGAGGAAGTAAAGATGAATGCCAAACCACAACACAGGAACCGTAGCTCCCGTGAGCCAAGCATACGGCAGGAGGCACCGCATGACTCTGTGCTCAAAAGCTGCAGACACTTCGTTCTGCACGACAACGTCGAACGCAGGGACGGAGCCAAACCAATGCTCAAGGCATCCGGCAATGGTCTGGCGGTCGCAAAACATCCTCTGACCAGTCTTGGGATTTATGTGGTTCACGCTGCAGCAATGGCAAAGAGTGTCATTGTAGAACGAAAAGGTCCTGAGCTGCTCCTGGACAGCATTCGCAGCCCGGAAATGGGCTCGAGTTGCAGCACTAATGAAATACATGAATACAATCACAGACGCAGCGAAAACAAACGCAGTCATCACTCCGACCCACAGGGCATCTGGGCCTCTGAACAGAAAGTTCTCCAGCAGCAAAGCTGGGCCCAGCAGCAGTATAGCCACGGAGACAAAGCCAGCTATTGCGCATATACCCCAGCTGACAGGCCTGATGACCAGTGGACCGTCGGGGTGAGATTTGAGGAAGGCGGCTAACTCCACTGTACACCACATGCGGAGCATATAGCTTGGATCCCAACACACCAGCATAGACCGCGAACGCTTCAGCAGCGCTGCTAAGTTCAGCATGCCTTCAGCCTTCAAGAGTTCGTCTGTTTGATGGATGCATATCCTGTCCAAGAAGACTCGTCTGCGAGACGGCCAAAACAGGAACGTGAGGCTGGCGAAAAGGATGCCGGCCAACATACTCCAAGCTAGAGTGTTCTTCATCGGAAACGGTCCAAGCTCTGGCTCGATGCAGACCCGCGTGGTCACAAAAGCTGCTGAGCCAAGCAGAACGGCCGGCAAGCCATTGTATGCTACCAGGAGCAACAGAATCTTGGATACAGTGTTGCCATGCCAGGAGTGTGACCAGAACTGTTCAATGTGTTGCTTCACTTCACTCTGATGGTAACGGCTCGGTCCAGTGTGCCCTTCACGCAACACGCGCCCAAAGCGCCAAAGTGCATGGCGGGCCTGTGTCACTCTAACCACCTCCCGTCTTGTGACCTTCAGACTCGCTAGGAAGTCCTTGAGGATGGCAATCCTCACTGGGGGTGAGTAGGGAATAAGGGAATATACGATATAGGGGTTATATAAGCATAATCTTATACCCTACTAATAGGGAATAAGGGCACATATTATATGGGGGTTATATAGGGATGATATTCCCTTTTTCCCTACTAACTATAACCCCCATGTATAATATCCCCTTATTCCCTACTAACTATAACTATATAATATCCCCTTATTCCCTACTAACCACCAGTAAGAATCTGCGTCTGGATTTCGTCATCCCGGAGACTTTGCTGCGAGGCTCCGAGAGCTGAAGCTTGTGGCTCTGCTGTTGGCAAAGTTGGCCTCTCCTGGGTTGCTGTTAAGGAACTTAAATCAAGTTACTATAATGGGTATATATATATATATATAGATGAGGGTTTCCCAAAATTAGGGGTACCTTCTTGGGGTCCCTATAACAAGGATTGTAGTATTTTGGGGTCCTATTCTGGGAAATTACCATGTATATATATGTATATATACAGTATAATATAGTTTGCCCAGTGTAGTAACTTAAATTAAGTTTCTTAACAGCAACCCAGTCTCAGCTGGCACATCTTCATTTGCCGGTAGAGCGGAATCCATGAAGCAGCGAGATGGGAGGCTGACTACTAACAAGCCTTTCCTTTTTAACCAAATCCTCTCAGCCAAAATTTGGTAGTTTCCCAAAATGAGGGGACCCCAATACAGACCCCAATATATAAGAAATACAAAATATAATATTGTAGTTTCCCAAAGTAGGGGGAGCCCAATGCAGACCCCAATATACTATAATCCTTAGTATTTTTGACCCCAAAAGTGTACCCCTAATTTTGGGAACCGCCTCATTATCCAACTGTTACAGAGTGGGGAAAGTATCCAAGGTTCAGGATTGTGTGTTGTTGAATGGCTGTTGAATCAGGCAACCTGAAGCATGCTCTGCACCGAAATGGCTCGTGGCTGCGTTCCGTCAGACCCATAGCTCCCAAGAACAGCAACAAAACTGCCAACAGTAAGGACATAGTAAAGATAGCAATAAGATTGAAGATTACTTCGTTGAATGATACTAGTACGAGTATGAATCGCCAACACCAACCAATACAAGCCAGAACAATACTAAATATAAACCGCGCCAGTAACAAGCAACAACCAACAGCAGCATCAGGCCTGGACAGGGCGCTGGCTGGGCAGCAAGCCAGCAGATATGGCATCCTCGATCACCTGACAGGACGAACGGTAAAGGTCTTACTTGTAGTGTCTGACTGGATGAAGCAAAGGCCGCTAGAAGCCTGGCGGGACTTCTCAGAATCTGAGTACGGATTGCATGCTCTTTTGACAAAAGCACCGGACCCTGCTTTTACAGGCATGCAATGGACAGGCAAGACATTTATTTGCAATCAGCAAGGATGATGCTTAATGCCGCCCATGTCCATGACCAGCAATAACAAGCCTTGCAGAGAACCCCTTTCAACCCAGAAATCATAGTAGTGACTGTGACAAAGCGTCATTTCGTAGCCCGTAGATAGTGCCTGGCTGAGCGGGACAAATTCTGTCATCAAGAGCTGTAAGCTCCACGTTGCTTCTTGTGGGGGCCTCCATGTCCGGTCCGGACATTACGCACCATAATATAGTCGTTACAAAGAAAAGCGACACGTGATACGAACAAACCCTAGCAGCTGACATTTTCGTCGGGCTGGGGCATCTCTTGATCAGCGCCTTGGCAGGGGCTGCACAGCTCCCTCTGCATCCACTTTCAAGCTAAATCCAAAGTTTGGATGCTTTATTTGCATAGCCCACGTCTGTGGAAGGAGGCATGGGGAGAATGAGCCCCGTT